CCAAATATAGTTGATCCAATTCTCACATTGGTGCTGCCCATTTCAATCTGCAGAGATCAGAATATAATGTTAATGCAAAAATCACATGCAAACCTCATAATTACTACGAATTTGCATACCTAACACTTTAAAATTTTGATATTTACATTTAAAATATTTTGTCGTCATAAATCTATGCGTGAAAAGATATATGATAGTGGTATTTTTCTTGTAATATTAAAGATTGAAAATATGAAAGCTTAGATGCTAGATAGATATGCAAGTACCATAAATTTCATAAAAATTATCAATAAAATTATAACCAAATAAGAGTATGACAATTGGTTGGAAAATAAAGTCGCGATAATGCTATTCTCAAATAAGAGAAATTATTATGTGCAGCGACGACACGTCTGGATAATGCTCCGGATGGGCTGCCGTTAGATACACAGTTGCAAAGCTGCATCTGGACTATCATCCAGACGTGCACGTAATATATGCTTGGAATTTGAATTTCAGGAAGTAGAAGTAAAAAGGGCTTGTAAAAAGTTTATATCAATGGTTATATATATTCATAATTAATTAACAAATTGTTTAAAAGATTATCTGTATTCCATTCTTGTTTCTATAGCTTCAATTCAAACAAAACTTAGTGTTCTTCCACTTACAGCTTTCTCAAAGTCACCAGACATACCCATTGAAAGCTCACATTGGCATTCTGGCATTCCAAGCTCTTTGCAAACTTCATCCTTGCAAGAAGACAATACCTACTCCAAATTCATGCAAACAAAATCATTTAAATTATTGGATAAAATAGAGTAACACAGTAGCTATTTGAAGTAAGAGATCACCTGAAAATTTTCAGGAGACGAGGTGTAGTCCGGCCGTCCGATAGTCATTAGACCAGAAAATACAAGATTTGGACAGTTTTGCTTGACATGCTTTGCTAGAGCCACACAATCTGATGGTTCTACACCAGATTTAGCTGCACGAAATTGCTTGAACAAAGTAAAGTTGTCAAATAAACACTTTGTTGTATGCTCGAAACTAATGAAACAGTTAAAAAATAAGGTCCCCATCCCCATCTAAAACACCTTTCATTTGCTCTACCACTTCTTGCCCTTTGCAGGGCTTGCCACATTGCAACCCACATGGCTCTTCCGCTTGCTAGGCTCCTTGTTGATGTGATTGACCCTTCCATGCTCTCACTCAAGCACGTGCTTGCATCCTCATACGCACGGGCTCTTGGTTTAGCTCATTACTCCTCACACTTGCTTTTCTCTAGAGTGAATCTCCAATGCTCTGTCACATCTTGTAGGCCAATTCATTAGCATAGCTTCCTCTCATTGCACATCTGTTGTTGGTGTTTGTAGGTTACCTCAGGCCTCCCTGATTGATGTTGTTAATAATATTGTATAGCTCGAGGATAACCCAACCCCTTCATCATCGAGTCTCCTCATCATTTATTGTAGTTTTTAACTTTGTCATCTCTTCACTCATCACCAACATTTCACATTCACAATCACTATCACTGGAGTCTTTATTTTCATCAACTTCATCGGGTTGATATTGTTAAGCGAACAAACTCCTCTATTTCTTGCAGCTTTGCCTCCCTACAAAGCATCTATGAGTTTCCTTGCTCGCACTCGCACTCCCTTCTCCTTCAACAATGTGTTGTTGGGAGGGTCGAAAGCTTCAAGTATTCAGTGCTCTATTTTTTGGCAAGATCTATATCCTCAACATATGCATGCAGCCATCCACTTCTTATGACAAACATGTGCTTAATATTATTGAAGATGATATCTTCCAACTAACAATTTCTCTCTCTTTCTTAATTATAGACAAATATTCTTTTGGCCCTCCTAATCTTCAGATCATTCACAAATTTATGGCAGACTTGCATTTGGTTGATGATTTCTTTGTTGGGTTTATTAATCATCATCATATTATTTTAAGATCATCTTATGCTGTAAGTGGCTATTTAATGCAAATGTTAAAATGATTTCTGGTTTTCTGGACTTTGAAACATCCCATAAAGCTTCTTCCCTCTCACATGGGATGCTTTTTTCCGGCATTTTTACGTTGCTTAAACTAATCCACCTTATCTTTCCTAGAATATAACAAGTGGATTCTGCTACGAGCCATGATTGAAATGAACATTACTATTCATACAAACAAAATCATTAGAAGAATGGGATAAAATAAGTGAATGTACCATTTGAAGTTTAAATGATCAACTGAAAATTTTTCACGAGTCGAGATGTCTGGCAGCCTGATGGTCATTAGATTAGAAAATAGAAGGTTTGGACAGTTTAATTTGACATGCTTAGCCACGGCTACACATCCTGAAGCTTCTAAACCATATTTAGTTGCTATAATGCCCAAAAAATATTCAGTTTCCAAAGAAACTATTTTGATGAATGCTCGAA